TTCCTGCTGGTATTGTCCTCCAAAATGAAACAACAATGAATTTCCCTGACTTTCTGTGGTCGTATCTTATCACTCCACCTGCCTGCTTCCAATATTATTCCCTTTCACTCCTCTCCCGTGGTCCCCTCTCAGATCCCCTCATTTAATTGGCCAGCCCCAGCCTGGGTTTTGTAGTTCCCTTATCATTATGGCCTGACTGCTCCCCTGGCTCCCATCTCACCCTGCCTCTGTCCACCTGCCCCTCTCCCTTGTCCCTCCTCCCGCTGTTTTGTTTGGACAAATGACAGCCTGGGTGTGACCAGAGGCGATAATGGTCGGCAAATATTTGAAGGGGGAAGCAGAAAAATTGTCCCTGGGGGAGTTTGAACGGGGAGGGCAAGGAGGGCAGGGGGAGGGTTGGGATGATGTGCAGATGATGCTGTCGGCCCGAGGACATCATAAATCCCCTCTGGGTGGGTGGGTGGGGATGGGGAACGAGCATCTCTCGTCCCTGGGGCTGCTTGGAAGGGCAGGCAGGTCCTCTGTGGAAGTGGCACTTTGCAGGGGAGATGGGAGTTGGAGCAGGGGGGCAGAGAGGAGGGAATGGGAAGGGAGAAAACGGGAATGAAATTGCAGCAAAGAGGGGAAACTTGGGCTGGAAACTCTGGAAATCTTCCTGTAACTTGAAGGGTTGGTGAGCTGGTGTCTGAATCCAGGTGCTAATATGGACTGGAGCACACATTAATGGGAAGGAGCTCTGGAGAGGGAGGGGACAGTCAGACCCTGCAGGCCTGCTGGATTTGACCCTGGGACAACATAAAAGGAGATTTTGCTTCCCTCAAAAACATCCAAACAAGTGATCAAAAACAATGAAGGCAAACCTCGCCTCTGTTTGACAGCTCACTGTGCCTGCTGAAGGGCTGGGAAGAGGGAGACGCTGGATAACTGATAAAAATTTTATTTATAAATATCCTACTGAAAAATATGGCCCAAAAAATATCCCTGCAAAGACTGGCAGGGGAGTTAAGGGCGTTGCCAGAGGCTGTGCAGCAAATCAGTGACAGAGGAGAAAGGGCATGTGGCACCCCTCTGCTCCATGCCAGGACACCCTGGACTTCTCAAAAAATCCAGTGTGCAAACCCCCAGGACTCCAAGGAAATGCTGGACAAAGCACAAACAGAGGGTGGCTGAGATGGACCCTCCCAAGAGCTTTTTGCTCCAGCCATCACCCGAAATTGGTTGTACAATGCTACAAAAGAAGGGGAAGGCAAGGCAACCGAGTGACACAATCCTGCTCTTCCCTGCAAACTTCTCTTACATTTTTCTGGGCAGCACTCTCATCTCATTTTCTGTCAGCACAACCCTTCCTGAAGCTGGCAGCACTGCCAAAATCTGAGAGTGACACCCCTGAAGCTGGACCCAGAGCTGCCCTTAGGGGCAGAGCTCACCCTGTCCCTCCCCGGGGTGTCACAGTGACCACGCAGAGCCCCAGCCCATCTTTAAACCAGCTTGCACAGCATTTTCCACCCTCCACAAGCACGATAAAGACATCCTTTGTCAGCAGCAGGGATGGTGACAGCTACCCAGGAGAGGCCAATTTTCTTCTGTGTATCAACAGAGAGGGGCAAACTGGAAAGACCTGGAAGACTGGAGGGCAGGAGGGGGTGACAAAGAGACCTGGAGGGACGAGATTTTGAGTTAGCAGCCCTCTCCCCGGGCTATTTTTTGAAGGATTGGCCCTGTTGGAGGGATTTTGCAGGTGCCACCAAGCGCGGTCGCTGCAGGTGGCGCTGCGATGTTGGGTTTGAGCGCTGCCTGCGCTCGCTGCAGCCCGGAGCTGGAACAGCCACGCCGGCTTCCAGCCACTTAAACACCGCTCTGCTTTAACAAACTTGTAAAATGGCGGGGGAAAAGAATAATAGAAAAAAAAAAATCCCAGCACAATCTTAGATTTTCCGTCTCTCTCCCTTTTTCTTAATTTTTTTTTTAATTTTTTTTTCTTCTGTCTCCTAATCAGCTCGTCCTGTGTTGTTGGAGTCTTGAAGTGTACAGGTGGATGTCCTGACAAAAATAGGTGTTTTCTGGTCCTTGGGTGCTGGTGGAAGTGATTCCTATGTGCCACTGTGTGTGGCTCAGGTAATAAGGCAAAAAACGAAAGGATGCATCAGTGAGGGAGGAACCCCAGAGGGATTCAGGGAGGCTGCTGGCACCCAGGACTTCAGGGACAATGGGGGATCTTTTGGGGCAGAGGGAGGGAAATCAGGTGTGTGAGGTTGTTTGGATGGAGACAAGAGGATTTTTCCTCATTCCCAATGATGCTGAGGCAGCTTTGGTGCTGCTTGGTTTTCCCCCAGAGCAGAGCAAGGCATGCCCAGCACCTCTCTGTGATCTCTGCTGTGACTTTTGGGGCAAAACACCCACTGGGATGACACCAGGGTGAGCCTGAGCCCTCCTTGTCCTTGGGCCCTTTTGCTGCAGAAATTCACAGGTCAGGGGAGGTCATTTGGGTTTCCCAGCCCTAACCCTTTTCCGCCCCCGCTGCCCGGTTCATGAACAGGCCTATAAATAAAAGTATCATTTGTCACTCACTCCTTCATGAACCCAAACAGCACAGGGATCTGTTGACTCCTGCCATTGTCTTAGGAAGCAGAAAGAACTGGTATTAATTTCTTCCTCCCCACCAGCTAGTGGGAAGTAATCTGGGCACATCCAGCTTACCCGTGTTTAGCGGAACAGGTTTTAAACGCCAGTCTGAATTTCCTTGAGATTTTCATATGTTTTTATTAAATGGAGCTGCGAGCCAGACTGGACACTCAATAACAGTGTAGCACTCAGAGCAGCAGTGATCTTTAGAGGTTACTAACCTGCCATTGTATCTCTCAGATTCCTGTCTCGCTCCTCCGTTGTCATTTCGCTGCGTTATTACTCTTCGGGCTTCACATCGTATTCATTTCTCTGAATGAAAACAAATGACTCCTTGCGAGAGGTAGGAGATAAAGAATAATAAATACATTTTATGCACCACCTTAGGAAAAAAAAAAAAAAAAAAGGGCTCTGAATCCCCATCCATCCATCAGGAAATGTAAACCGGAGCTCAGGCAAAACGCACGCACAGGCACGCGCCGGGCAGATAAAACTTGTTTTAAGGAAAACATGATATTGTTTCTAAATAAATATCTTGGAGGATGCAAATAGACAGCCCCCGGCCCCCGTGCTTCGTGGCATAAATTTAAGATAATTAAAAATACTAAGCTGGGATTAAGCCTGATTTTCTGTCAGTGGTGGAGGCTGTGGGGAGGAGGGGGAGCCCTGCTGTGTTTGGTGCTGCACAACCCCTGGAGAGGCGATTCCTGCCTCTGATCTCGGGTCTGGATTGCCGTGGGTGCTGGGACCCCCTTCCCCAGGCACCTCCTGCATCTCTGCCGGATGCCTTTGCCCTTCTGCTGGGGAAGGGGAAGCTGCAGGGTCACTTGCAGAGTTTTCTCCCCGGCCTGAGCATGGCCAGCCCCGCTGGAAGCAGAGGAGGTCTCCCCCAGCTGCTTCTCCTCTTCTTCAGCCCTTTGTGAGGCGCCCATCCTCAGGGAATCGGGGCTCCCTGGGGAGCAGCCCTGTTGCTATCAACACCCTGAGAACATCCCTGTCCTTCCCATCACCTGCTGCTGGCTCTGGGGCTGCTCTGGCATCACCTGCAGGGAGGAGTGCGGGTCTCACACACGGAATGAACTTTTGGGGTGGGGTCTGCCCCACCCCGGCAGCCTAGGGGACAACAAACTCAGGTAGGAAACACCAACAGCTTCTAAAAAAAAATACCTTTATTCCTGTGGCCGGGAACGAAAGGGAGCCCGGGCCAGGAGGCAGCTTGAGCCGCTCTCCGGGATTATTGCTCACCCGAGCCGAGAGATTGATCTTCCCCTGAGCCTCCCCACGCTCCGCTCCCCTCCTCGCTGCCTCCAAACGGAGGAGAGGGAAGGGAAGGCAGGGAAGAGGGAAGGGAGATGCCAGGCAAAGCCGGGAAAGGCTTTTCTGAGGAGGAGCAGATGGGGGCAGGCAGCGAGAGATGCGGTTGATTCCGTGAGTGGGTTTTGGGTTTTATTCCTTTTTTTTTTTTTTTTTTTTTTTTTTTTTTTCCTTTTTTTCTGGGAGGGCAGAGACGTTTCCCAATTAGCCCAATCAGGCTGGAGATCCTAGGTGTCAGTAGTGAGTAGGAGCGAGGGAAGGCACCGGAGGAGGAGGAATCCAGGCAGCCGGAGTTCCAGCCGGGGGAGAGCGGCGGCGGCGGCGCTGGCAGCCCCGGGAGGCGGCCCCGCTCCCTCCCCGTCCCCATCCCCTTCCCCATCCCCTGCAAACTTTAGGACGACGAAAAGCGCCTTGGGGGACCCCCTCCAGAGAGAACCTGCGCTCCTCCGCCTTCTCCCCTCTCCCGGAGGTGGGTGGGCTGGAGAAAGGAGGAGCAACCGGCCACTCTCTCTGCAAAGCTAAAAAAAAAAAAAAAAAGGAAAGAAAGAGGAAAAGGATAGAAAGGGATTTTTGTTATCGCTTACATTTTTTATTTATTATTTTTTATTATCCCTCCCCCGTGCATTGGGCTGCTGTTTCCACAGCACTTCTATACCTCTCCGGCTATATATTATTTTTTAATTTTTTTTTTTTTTTCGGAAAGGGGTGTGTGCCTGCGCGTGTGTCTGTGTTTGCAAAAGAGCCTGGGTGTCCAAGCCGGCTCCGCAGCCACCATTGGAGAGGAGGACTAGGGAGGAAGGGCTGGCTGGCGAGACAGCCGCAGTGCGAGCCCTCCCCGGCGGGCGGGAGGCCGCGGAGCCGGGCATGGCCGCGTAGCGCATCCCCTGCCTGCATCCCCCTGCCTGCACCCCGCCTGCAGCTCCGCTGCCCGGCTCCCCCCACTCCTGGCTGGTTTAGAGGCGGAGGGGACACGGTTTGCCCAGTGCAGAGAGAGGGGCTCCGTGTTCCGCCTCCGTGGAGTATTTGGGATTGGAGAGAGACACACACGCACACACGCGCACACACACACACGCACACAGAGACCATCTGCAGTGTCAATGCGGCGCCTGCTCTGAAGACTGAAGTGGGGGGAAAGGAGAGGAGAGAAATATTATATGTATATATATATATGCACATATATATATACACCAAAACCCACCCAAAGCAAGCCAGGAGCATTCCCAGGTAAGGAGCCCCCCGCCCCGCCCGGGCAGCGGGGGCTGCGGGAGGATGCCCCGGAGGATGCCCCGGGAGGGCTGGCGGGGCTGCAGCGCTACCTGCCCTCCACACCTGGCGGCAGGGCAGGGGGGGCTCTGGGAGGCGCCCCCGCCGCTGCTCCCCACCCCTGGGTCCCGGGAAGGGGGTCTGGGATGGAGGGCAGGGACCCCCGCGGACCGCGGGCTGAGTCGGGGGGCTCGGCTCGGGCACGGCCCCTCCCGGCCCGGCTGGGGAGGATGCTGGGCGGGGGGCGCGGCGGGGAGCCCCCCTTCTCCTCATCCTCAGCGCGGAGGGGACGCGGTGCCCGGTGTCCCCCGTTCCCGGGTCCCCGATGGCTTTTTCCCCATGCACGAGGCTCAACTTTTCTCCGCGGAGGTAGCGGCTCCAGCGGCGCAGCCCATCCCTCATCACCCTCGGCATCGCCCGGCTGCGGATTTTCCTCCCCTCGGGGGGTATTTTTCCCCCTTCGAAGCTCCGGAGCTCCTCTCGGGCGAGGAGCTGGAGGCATTTACAAACTTTTCCTGCTCCCGGTGAGGATGCAGCTGGACGGGGCTGGAGGCAAAGCCCAATTCCCGGGGAGGATAACACCTCCCGGCTGCCCGATGGATGGGGACAGGGGCCAGCCCTGGTGGTGAACACCTAAGAGGGAAGAGCAGACCCCCGTGGTTTCCCTTCCTGCAAGGTGCCGGAGAGTTTTCCTGCCCAAATCCCGGCTGCGGACTCAGCGCTGCTAAACCTCCCTCCTTTCCCTCGGTGCATGTGTGTGCTGCAGCCGAAACCTGCGTACCGATGCTCTGCCTTTATCAGAGATATGCCCTTAAATGATGTAGACCGGGAGAAGTGATCTAAACACCGAGCCGCGCGTTGTTTTGGGTGGAAATCCACGTTGTTTTGCTGGAAACCTAATACTCTGGCAGCAGCTGAGTTCCTCGCAGACAAACAAACCCGCTCGCTCAGCCCCAGCAGGGCTGTTTGGGTTTGTAGTGCCTGCATGTGGCTGCTCCATCCCCAGCCCGGAGGAAATCCTCCTCCCGGGGCTCCATCTGCTCGCCGTGCCGGGAAGGGATGCGGCGGTAGGAGCCGCAGGGCTCGCCCCGGTTGGGAAGGAGCCGCTGGAACGCCTGTGGCTCCGCACCTCTCCCGCAAAACTTCCACACCCCGCGCTGCTTCCCAGCCCTGCCGCCGGCAGCTCGCTGCAAACGCACCTGACTGACTGCCCGCGGCTTTCCCCCGCTGCCGGCAGGCGATGCCTGGGAAAAGAGGATTTGGGAAAAGCCAGGGGGGTGTGCCGCTCCCCAGATCGTGGGGTGAGTGCTGCAGAGAGGGGAGGCTCGGACCGGGACCCCCGAGACTGCCGGGGGATGCTCTGGATCCGCGGGAACAATGACGGTGCCCGGGGATTTTCACAGCCCGTGCAAACTGCTCGCAGCCTTCTAGGGATTTATCTTGAGCGTGCACAGATATTTTGGAGGGCGGAGAGCGTGCTAACTTATTTTCTGTACCTGCCCTCTGTTTCGCCCGGGTGTTGTTTGTAGAAACCCGCGAGCGGGCAGGACCAGGGGGGCACGGGGGGCACGGGGGGCTCGGGCTTTGGCGTCTCTGTGATTTTAATTACGGTGTGGGATTAGGTGCTTCCTCCCCCCCAAGCCTCTGTCTGGAGGTGCAGGGGATGCGAGCAGCGTTTTGCTTGTGCTTTTGGTTTTTCTTTTTGCCGGGGGAAGTGCGTGTTTGTTTGTTTGTTTGTTTGTGCGTGTGGGATCCTTCGCTAAGCCAGGCTTCAAGCGGTGCAACAGATGTGTGTGTGTGCGTGTTTCGCGTGTGCAGCCAGGTTTAAACACGCAAGCCCAGCCCCGGCACGAAAAGCTGGGCTTTTCTCCCCTCCTGTGCCCAGACCCACCTTCCATGGGGTGTCTCCTTCCCGAAAGGACCACTCCAAGGCTTTTTCTCTCTGTCCCATCCTGAATGTGCGGCGCTCGGCGCTATCGATACCACGCGAAATAAATGACAGCCGCATGATCTAAGTGCTGTTTCTGTCCAAGACGGGTGTTTTAGGAGCCGGGCTGATGATGATCAATCACGGTGCTGTAGGGGAAGCATTCGCTCGATGATCGGAACCGAGGGCTGGTGTCAAATGTGCCGTGCGCGGCTGGGGAGGGATGCTGCAAAGCCAAAGGGACGTGCTGAACTTCTCCGCAGGGAGAGCGAATATTTGAGCTTTTCCTCGCCGGATTCACCTGGCAGCATCCCTCCCTGCAGCGCAGAGAGCCCGGTGCTCGGCAGCCGGTGGGTGAGGCAAAGCCAGGGCTGAGCAGAGGCAGGAGAGCGGCTGGGCTGCTGCCGGGAAGGCAGGAGCCGTCTGTGGCAGCCCCATCCCGGGGGGCTCAGGGTTGCCGGAGCCGCTTTCATATCAATTCCTCCACTTTGGCAAGATGAGGAGGGGGAGGAGAGATGCCGGCGCCCCTTTTGTGTTGCGTCTTTTTGCTTTTACCGAACGGCTTTGTCTCTGCCTCCCGATGCCGAGGGGCTGCAGTAAAACCAAGCTCGCTCTCGCCGCGCCGGGGCTGGATTCGTGTGAAGAGCCCGGCAAGATCTTAGGATGCTCGGGGTGTTGCTGAGGGTTAACGCCGTGTGGGAATCAGTTTCTTGTGAAGAAGGGAACCCTGAGCAGCTCCCTGCAGAGCTGAGGAGGATGCTGGCACTGTGGGGTCGTGCTCCACGCTGGGAGGTGACCTGGGGACGGTGTCAGAGGTGGGGCTGCTGAGTTTTGGGAGTTCGCAGTGCCGGAGTTTGTGGCTTGGCACTGCCCACTTGTGTTTTGGAGCAGGACGGCGTGGTGTCCTGGGAATAATTTGGCTGCTCTTGGTCTATTTATTATTTCTAACCCCTCTAAAGTGGGGTCTCACATAGCTGAGACTCCAAAGTCTCGTGTGCTGCCCATGAATCCCCCTCCCCAGCCAGGGATGTGTTTTGGGCTGTGACTGTTCCCCCTAGCAAAGCCCTCAAACTGCTTCATGCTCTAACAAAAAGCATCTGGGGAACCTTTCTGGCTCTCTGAAAGGCTTCAGAGGGCTCTTTCTTACTCCTTCCTTCTGGCTTGTGAGACTCAGGGAAGGGACAGCAGCGCTCCAGGCGCCCAAGGCAACGAGACTTCCCGTCTGTGCAGAGAGTCTGGGCAGCCACTGCCTTTCTGCAGGGCATCAGTGATGAGCGTGCTTCCCTGCCTGACTGTCTTCCTGTGAAAAGTGCTTTATATCCCTCAGCTTTGAGCTCTCAAGGAGCCTGTGACAAAAAGAAAAAAGAAGAAGAAGAAGAAAAAAATTATGTAGTGCTGCCCACATGTTTTTCACTCGGGCTCTGAATGGTTTTAAAACATAACCATTTACTCAGTTCCTGTGGTGTGGATAGGGAAACTGAGGCACAGAGAGGCAAAGAGCTCAGTCCACAGGTATTGATGAGGAATTCTCACTCACCAGCCTGAAATGCAAACTGAGCCCCAGGTGGGGCTTTGATGAGAGCAGGGAACGGTGCCCTGCCCTTCAGTCTGTGCTTCAACAGCCAAGAGCAGCCCTTGGACAGAACAGGACATTTTCAGGATTGATTTTTTCCCAATTAAAATGGCAAATGGGTGTTTTGAAGTGAGAAAGTATCACAGAATCATGGAATTACAGAACAGCTTGGGTTGGAAGGGACTTTAAAGATCATCTAGTTCCAATGCCTTGCCATGGGCAGAGACAACCAAACATTTTGGGTTCGAGAACTGGCCTGGGAGCAGCTGTTCTTTCATGGACCTCAGTCCCAGTGCCTTTAAAATTTGCTGCAAAATGTTTTTAATCACCTTTGGGAATGGAGACATCACTGCAGAAATGACGTGCTGAGTTTCCTGCAGCCTGTGTGGTGATTTTCTGTATCTGGCACTCTCCCTTGGGGTTTTTTTAACTCATCCCAAAGAACAGTCTGGGGGTTTTTTTGTTGGTGCATGAGCTCTGTGAGTTTGCCTCATCCTTAAGGGGCTGAGCAGCCACCCAGGTAAGAGGTGCCAACTCTGTGTCCCCTGCCAGAGCCATGTGGCACCTGTCCTGAACCCTTTCCTTGGTAAAAACCCCTCAAAGATGCTCTGAAGGCCCTGAACAGTGGTTTAAAAACCCACTTCATTTTAGACACCTGTAGCTCTCCAGCTGATGTGAACCCTGCCAGGGACATGCTCCCTTCCAAGGGGATTCCTGGAGCCGTGGAGGAAGCCAACTTTTTGCTGAAATACGATGTTCCCAGCTGTTGCTACCCTAAATACTAATGTTTGTAGAAGACATCAGCTTCTCAGAGCCTGAAGACCTGGGGGAGAGCAGTGACTGGGTTCAAACCCCCATCCCACTGTGCTGCCTCTCAGCAGGTGGCTCTGACCTCGCCTGCAATCACTAGAGAGGGAGAGAGAGAGATCATTTGCAGACTCTGTGACCTGCTTTTACTCCAGGCTTCGCTGCTGAGAGGGTTTCCCCCTGTTTAAAAAAAGTGCTTTTTAAATGCTTCATGCAGTGAAACAGGAATCCAGACCCAAAAGTCAAGTGGCTGAGAATCCCAGGCTTCTTTTGCATGGGGATAAATAAAAAGTCCTGCTGAGCGTGGCAGGATTTGCACTTGTGACCCAAAAGGGAGACGTTGCACCTCTGATTCTCCTGCCTTCCATGCCTGATCTCTGAGTTTCCTTCCATCTCTATTATCCACACACTGATCTGCTGGGGTTTTCCCAACCATATTGGCAATAAATTTATGGGATTTGACTGGCACTTGAATTTGCCAGGACGAATGCGTGGCTCTGATGCAGATAATACAGGTTAGCTTTTCACTACAGGCTTTTGCATGATCTAAACCCACACATTTCCTCCTCCTCTGCTCTCCTGCAAGGGCCAGAGGGATAAATCTTGATTCTGGGTGAACCCTTGCAGCCAAATGCACGTAAATGTTTGTGAAAT